ATAGCGCCAATTCATAACAGAAGTTATCTCAGGACACTTTTCAAATAGAGCAGGTCCAGACCGAACTTGTTATAAAATTTACAGAGACCCAACAGTACCACCATGAGCAAGCACTTGGCGACGGGGGCAAGGAAAAACTGCCTGTTAAGAGGAAGAAACCTAGGACAGACCCTTTGGCTCTAGGTGGGTGGTGGTCTGCCTCAACAATCTTCATTTGTCTAAGTCTCAGTCAAGTTTGTTTGTTTGTGGAAGAATATTAATTCTGCCCCATAACTGTTTATTATCCTCTATTTTACATGTTCCTCTCTCAGTTTTGATCATCAGAAGATCACGACATTTGATCTAAACAAATCTCACTCCTGCTGGTTGTTGAAAACTATTATTAGCATTAACAGGGTTGTTGCTTATAATAGTTTTATTAATGCTACTATTAAAGGTCCAGTGTGAAGGATTAAGTGGCATCTAGTGGTGTCCGTGTATCTTTTGGTCATTGGATTTTCCTTTCAGAAACGGGTATTAAAAAACTGAAAACGATTTTCGTTTTAAAATACAAAAATTAAAATTGAAATACAAGGCGTTTTTTCTTTTTCATGGTCAAAAAGGGATGAGCGAAATTAAAACAAATATTCGATTTTCATTTTCTATTTCATATAACAAAAAATAAAATCACTAGAAAACAGAAACGGAAAAAAGGCCTGTTTTTTCATATTCTGAGACCGGATCTTGTCATTAACAGGACGGTGCTGTGGAGAAGAAACAGTAGGCTAGTAGACTGCGGTCAATCCAGCCGTGAGTCCGATCTCCGTGGTCAAATCAGCCGCACTTAAATTTAGAGTGTACAAGTATTCTCAGCATTATGGTAAATGCGGAGAAACAGCGTATTTACTTCCGGTTTTCAAAATAAAGGTATTTAGAGCTGTAAGCTATGATTAAAATATGTTACATTAAAGTGTTTCATGCGCCCCTGATGAATAAGAAACACTTTATATCAAGTATCTTTACTGCACCAGTGTGGAGAAATGCCAAAATAAAAGTCTCATATTTATGCCTCCAGATATTGAATATTTGACCATATTTGAGGTACTGTAAAAAAAATATTGCTCAGTGTTTCCTGGCTACTGATGGTATATTTGACTTTTACACATATGAGACTACAAACACACTTAATATCAAGCATTTATACGGCACCAATTTGGAGAAATTTAAGAATAAAAGCCTCATATTTATACCTCCAGATTCCATATTTTCTTATATTTGAGCTACTGTAAAAACATATTGCTCAATATTTCCAGGCTATGGGTGAAGCATTTTCATTATACTTCAATAATGATGTAGTAATCATGACAAAATTTCACACAAATGTTTAATAACATCTTATAAAAAAAATGAGAATATAAAGACTAATGTGGAACCACCTGCAACAGCTGTCACACTGAATCTGTAAAAGGGAAAAATAATATGTGAGGAAGAGACAGTAGGTAAAATTGTGTTTGGAAGTTAAAACTAATTATTTTTGAGCAAAGTGTTTTTACAGTAGCTCAAATATGGTCAAATATGCAACTTGGAGGTATAAATATGGGACTTTTATTGTCTATTTTCTCCACATTGGTACAGTAAAAATGCTTGATATTAAGTATGTTTGTAGTCTCATATGTGTAAAAGTCAAATATACCATCAGTAGCCAGGAAACACTGAGCAATATGTTTTTACAGTACCTCAAATATGGTCAAGTATGCAATCTCTGGAGGCATAAATATGAGACTTTTATTTTGGCATTTCTCCACACTGGTGCAGTAAAGATACTTGATATGAAGTGTTTTTTTATTCATCAGGGGCGCATGAAACACTTTAATGTAACATATTTTAATTATAGCTTACGGCTCTAAATACCTTTATTTTGAAAACCGGAAGTAAATACGCTGTTTCTCCGCATTTACCATAATGCTGAGAATACTTGTACACTCGAAATTTAAGTGCGGCTGATTTGACCACGGAGATCGGACTCACGGCTGGATTGACCGCAGTCTACTGCTCTACTGTTTCTTCTACACAGCACCGTCCTGTAAATGACAACATCCGGTCTCAGAATATGAAAAAACATAGCCATTTTTCCGTTTCTGTTTTCTAGTGATTTTATTTTTTGTTATATGAAATAGAAAATGAAAATCGAATCATTTTTTAAATTTCGCTCATTCCTTTTGACCATGAAAAAGAAAAACGCCTTGTATTTCAATTTGAATTTTTGTATTTTAAAACGAAAATCAAATAAGCACTCGTTTTCTGTTTTTTAATACCCGTTTCTGAAAGGAAAATCCAATGACCAAAACATACACGGACCCTTTAGACATTCTTCTTTGATAAAGCTTATAGTAAGGGCTGGCTCAGGTAAGTCCTGAACCGTCCCTTAGTTATGCTGCTATAGGCCTGGACTGCCGTGGGATTTCCCATGATGCACTGAGCCCCTCTCTTCCTGCACACATTCATGCTTGACTCCCACCTTTGTCTCTGTCTCTGTACTTCCCTCTTTACCTCACCCCCTCTCCCTCTCTCTGTCTCTCTCTCCCTCTCCTTCTCTCTCTAACCCCAACTGGTCGAGGCAGACGGCCACCCACCTAGAGCCGCGGTCTGTCCGAGGTTTCTGCCTCTTAAAAGAACGTTTTTCCTTGTCGCCGTCGCAAAGTGCTTGCTCATGGTGGGAACTGTTGGGTCTCTGCAAATAATGTTATAAGGAGTAAGGTCTAGACCCGCTCTATTTAATAAGTGTCCTGAGATAACGTTTGTTATGAGTTGGCGCTATACAAATAAAACTGAATTGAATTGAATTGAATTGAAGTTGTATTTCTGACCTGTTGTTGCGGGCTGGAAGAAAGGGGGTGGAGGGCCGGAAATGGCCGACTGGGCCGGCAGTTTGAGGCCTCTGGTGTACACGCATGTTTCATTCAATGAAAGTTTCAGTGTTGACTAGAGGCTGGCGTTCCACGTGACACTGCTGCACGTTCCAACACACACACTCACAAATATACTGGAACATAGTGTTGTTGGGCAGATGGTCCAGTGTTGTCATATTCAGGCTGACCTGCAGAGTAACAGGGTGACTGTTACAGCCGTACATGCCCACAGGCCAGTACCCTCGCAGGCTTTGGCCTTTCACTTCATTTTTACAGCACAATAACTTCTCCTGATGACTGACCCGAAGCTACCACATAGAAAAATAGTTTTCTTTGGTTTCTTAAACATCTTATTGGAATCTTGGACAGTAAATAATATTAAATAGATTATTTATTTGTATATAGAAACACATATACATTGATAGATTGATAGATAGATATAGATAGATCGACTTTATTAATCCCCGAAGGGAAATTGGGTCGTCATAGCAGCCAGGTACATTTAAATACAATAAAAATACAAATACATACATACATACAAACACATACGTAACATAGTACAGTGAAAAAGAGCAAAATTAGGTACACAGGCTAAGTAACTTAGAAACAATCTCATAGGATGGGTCAGCCAAGTCAGTATTATTATAATATAGTATATTAATTTAAATGACATGGGAATACAGACTCACTTTCTCTCTCTCTCTCACTTAATGTATAAATATATTTGATTTTTTCAAGGTGTAAAACAGAGGATATCATGTAAGCAGGATGTAGTTAGAGAGAGGAAGTCTGATTTTCACTTATTTATTTTCAATTTTGTGTATTTTTGATATTACATATAGTTTTTCTGTAGCTGGCCTTCAAAGTTTGCTCAAATGGCCACTTGAAGCTGGCTCCAGAAATGTGTCAATCTGCATAACCCCCCATATTAAAATGCCCAACTTTTTTGCCTTGTAGCCTGGTACCAAAAACAGTTTCAGTCTCCATAGCTAGTTTGCCGTTCATGACAACAAGCCCTGCAACAGTGCTGCAAGCAGCAATACATCATTGTCAAATATAAATTTACATTGTAATTTATTAGACATATGAAAAAGCTGTACATATACATATATATTTCAGCACTTAGTTTGCCTACAGGGAGATTATTATTATGATTGTTATAATTGATAATTGTATCGGTTGTTATTACATGAATGCAAATATATGTGTTTGTAAGTGGTAAATTGACTATACTTGTGTTCAGTATGTGGTGGTGGATCACTCTTTATGAGAATAAACAGCAGGATGGAGACGGATGACTTTTTCAAGCGGTACTTTACTTCACAACTCACAACAACTCCACTTCCTTATGTTTACTCTGTTGTTTCTACTACTATGTATGTTTTGAAAATAACTGATAAATAAAGCTGTTAAAAAAAACAACAAAAAACAAAACAACTCCACTTCCTTGTTCGGACCTTCCACGGGACTGAATTTACCAATCAGAAGCTAGAATTAGACTGAGGTAAACGTGAGGGAATCAGAGAGGCAGATTCAACAGAATATCCTGACTGTGACAAATATGTAAACATGTAAATATGTAAATAAAAATATGTAAATTATTAACTGACTAAACATTGTAAATACATTTCTAGTAAATTAACTCAAATATAAATTACATTAACTTATGAGCCTTACAACTTTCAAATATGAATTAACTCCACTTCTAAACCTTACACTTGTATAGCACCTTTCTAGTCTTCCGACCACACAAAGCGCTTTAACACTACACCACAAATATATGTGAATTTGTTGACGTGTAGTCTATGACGTGTCATCCTGTGCCGTCTTTAGACAAAGGTGGGCTTGTTTTCTTTCTCAGCGTGCTACGTACTGCTGGTGGAACAAGCCTGCAAGCTGCAACGTTCCAACATACCAGAGTAAGCGAGACAAAAGTATCAACTTCTCCCTACTTAAGGTCACACATGGGTATAAGTCAATAAAAATTGGGTCATATAGTTTGAAGTCACACATGAACAGGAGTTAATCAATACCTGTGCATACAGTTCCACGTAACCACGCACGAAGTCAGCGTGACCTTCCGCGGGACATTAAACGAGCGCTTCCCTCTCGTACAGAAGCTAGTCAGTTTGTTGACAGCGCGGAGGAAGAAATATGGCGGCGCCCACAGCATTGGTGCAGATAATGAACACACGGACAGATAATTGCTTAAACGCAACCGGCCAACGTGGCAAATGTTTTTTAGTAGACTCAGGCGAACTACAGGACTATTTAGTGGATTTCTTGGAGAATGAGGTAGGCAGCGACCTGAAATCCTTGAGGAATGTTGGTGACCTGCTGGATAAACTGAGAGAGGAAAACAACGTCTTGGAGGAACAGGTGAATGAACAGCTTTGACATTTGTTCGTATGGAGCAAACAAAACATACAAAACAACTTTAATAGGTGTCCTTGTTTATCGCCTGTGTGTTACATTAGACTGCATCTCAATAGCTTTTCACTGGGGGCAGTGTGTGAGTAATAGTAAAAAATAAACCCACAATATTCTCAATTTAGTCAAATACAAGGAAATGTGACCCTTCAAATATGAGGTAATATCGTAAAGCCAACGTTCGCTTTATTTGTCTCAAATACTGTGCAGTCAACCAAGTCTAAATGTAACATGGTTATAATTGGGCTTATCCTCAACAAGATTACATTACATGTCAATTTAGCTAACCTATTCGGAGGTAAAAAAAGTGAGGGCATTTTCTTAAAAACTGTATCGTAAAATAAGTCCAGATCTCACATGGTTATACTTGGGGTCATCCTGAACAAGATTCCATTGAAAGTTTTAGCTTATGGAGGACTAAAAGGGCCAAAATTAAATAAATAAATACACCATTAAGTAATTACTTAAATGTGTCATTAATGAATTAAAATTGGAATTAAATACATAAATGTGTTATTAAATGTGTCATTAATTCATTCAAATACCGGTTCATTTTATGTAAAATACATATATAATTATTTCACTATTTAAGTATTTCATGGACCTGCGTTGCAGTGCTTCATGAATTACTTTGATCTGTCAAATTCACCCATCAAAAGTTGGTAGGCGGAACCTAACGCCTGATTGGTTACCCTGCTCAAGCCAAGGCAAATCAATTCCAGATAATGGATTGATGCAGAGCTAGTGAACACATTCCAATACACTGGGTGGCACTATTGGACTACTTCTTCTAAATCTGAAGTCACTCTATGGTAAATATCTTGGTCAGAAAGTGCGGAAATAACTCCAAGAACTTCAATAAGTGCCTCTGCTTTACTCGCTACATGCTCTGGGTCAGCAGCTCCTGCTTCCACATCCTCTGCTAAGTCTAAAATGTCTAATTCTAAAAAATAAAATAAAGTGTTTAACTTCAGAAAAATAAAGTGTAGAAGCAGCTTGAGTTTCCCTTTTTCTTTGTTAACTGTTTCATATCTTGATTAACAGTCTCAACTAATTTTATAGTAAATGAATATCAACACATCTTTACAATTGAACAGTTTCTCTTTGTTTCCCTTTTATATCTTTCTATACACTTTCTGTTGTTCAGTGAGAGAATTGAGCTCTAACCTCTCTCCCTTGTTGGGCAGTGAATCTGAGACTGCTTATTTTCTGTGACCTTGTTCAGACTTGACTGGGTTTGTTTGATGAAAACTTTGTTCTGTCTCATAGTGGCGTTTCACATTGACATCAGTGTTTCCTCTAGGATTTTTTTTAGCAGCCGCTAAATCATCGTGCTGGGATGCCAGTTTGCTCAGTATGGTAAGCTGGTCCATATCCTGAAACACAGACAGTAGGCGATTAAGCTGGGTTCCTCAGTCATGTTTCTGAAGAATTTAAATTGTGTCTAATTTACCTTGAATGCTCCAGTCAGCATATGCTGCTTAAAAGATGACCATTCTTGCAGTGCATGACTGTCTGGTTGCTGCAGAAATTTGGTGGACAGGGTCTTGATTAGGGGTGCACGATAATTATGAGGCCGATAGTTATCGGGCCGATAACAGGAAATTATTACATCATTCTGATAAGTCCGATATCATGACGAATAGCCCCGATAACATATATAATTTTGTCTGCAAGGCAGTGCCCCGCTCTCACTATGAGACCTGAATGGCCTGCAGTGACTGCTGTGTTCAAGTGACGTTGGCATAATCAGAAAAACTCTTTCTGACTGGGAAAATTCAAGAATACCCCCTCATGTCGGAAGAAAACTCGTTAACTCGGTCATAATTTTGGTAGTTGCTGACTTGAATTGATATCCACGGTATTTTTCCACATGTTACACATAAACAATAGAAACACAAACTTAACAAGGCCAAAAGAACGACTACCAAATGTGGGAACAGGGAATTTCCGTTACACCGTGCATGCAACACAGCGTGCTTACGTTTGAAAACAGACAACACGGCGTCGATTGTGTGGGACTTTTACAAAGTTTCTGAAGAAGACAGGTGGCTTGTTATTTGTAACAAACTAGTGCAGTGCCCGTAGGAAGTATGTATTGCTATAGAAAAGTGGGAGGTTAAGTTGCTTTTTCATGGATGGCCAAATAAGGTTGTGTTTGAAGGTGTAGCAGCTAGCTACAGACGAACATCCACAGATTCCGATTCCAGTTTGTTGTCCTCGCGTATCCGGATCTCCTCAGACCGGAACAGACTCGGTCCGGACTCGTCCAGTCTCAGTAATCCACAACAGTCAGTTTAGATGCACAGAACAGGACCTTGGACTTTGCCATCGCTGTGTGAATGTGTGTGAAAGGGTGAATGTGGCACGTAGTGTAAAAGCGCTTTGAGTGGTCGGAAGACTAGAAAGGTGCTATACAAGTACAGGTCCATTTACCATTTACTGAACAGCCAGCAAAATCCGCTGCAGGTATAACGTTAGATCAGCGTGTTTCTTAAGGTGTGTCGTGGGGATGGGCTCTGCAGTGATTGGCTCTGGTGCGCACATGGCTATGGTGGCTATGGTTGACAATGCTAGCCGAATTTGTTTCTCTCTCTCTCTCTCTCTCTCTCTCTCTCTCTCTCTCTCTCTCTCATCTATCTATCTATCTATCTATCTATCTATCTATAGATATAGATATATATCTATAGATATATCTATAGAGATATATATCTATAGATATATCTATAGAGATATATAGAGATAGATATATCTATAGATATATATATATATATATAGATATATCTCTCTCTCTCTCTCTCTCTCTCTCTCTCTCTCTCTCTCTCTCTCTATATATATATATATATATATATATATATATATATATATATATATATATAGATAGATAGATAGATAGATAGATATATATATATATATATATATATATATATATATATATATATATATATATATATATATATATATATATATAGATAGATAGATAGATAGATAGATAGATAGATAGATAGATAGATAGATATATCTATATATATATATATATAGATAGATATATCTCTATATATATATATATATATATAGATAGATATATCTATATATATATATATATAGATAGATATATCTCTATATATATATATATATATATAGATAGATAGATATATCTCTATATATATATATATATATATATATAGATAGATAGATATCTATATACTGAACCTTATACTGAAAAGGTACTATAGTGAAAAGGTATTCATTTGAATGGAACCATAAGCCAAAATCATTCAAACTTAGTTTTTTGTTACTATGGAATGCACTTTTTCAGTTTGTTTACACGGACAAGTGTAACTCGTGTCAGTGCATGATTTATTTATTGTTATTGAGGAATGCACTTTTTCAGATTGTGTTTACATAGAAATGTTTAAATCTAACTTGCATCAATTTTCCATATATATTTATTTTTTTGAACTTCTGGAATACACTTTTTCAGTGCGTAATCCCGCTGCATGTATTTGCATCAGTTCAAGGGGCCTTTTTTTTTTTTTGAGAGGCTTGCCAATAGTTTTTCATTGGGAAAAAATAACATTTAAATTTAAACATTTAAATACAAAAGTGTTTTTGGGTTTGTTCATTGTATTAATGTCATGATCTTAGGTCATGATCATATATATTATGTATATGTGTGTGTGTTATCAGTTATCGGTATTGGCCTTTAGGAGCTGAAAGTTATCTGTTATCGGTATCGGTTTTAAAAAAAGTTAACGTGCATCCCTAGTCTTGATGTTTTCCAAGTTGATGGAATCATCCTGCTTGACTGCTTGGGGCCCCAACACGTGAAAGGCTCCCATGATATTGAGGTTTTGGAACTTTCTGTCAAGGCTGTCCTGGAGGCCATCAAGATAAGATTCCATTACCTAAACATGGCACAAAGGAAATTATTAAGTTTTATTGAATGGCTCCTTGTGAAAATAAAATTTAATGGTGTATTTATTTATTGAATTGTGGCACTTTTAGTCCTCCATATTAGCTAACCTACTCAAGAAAAGGAAATATGACCGTTCAGATATAAGGAAACTCCACCTCTACCGGTCATGATGTTCAGTTCTTCAGTACTCGGACAGCAGGTCAAACAAACACAACTTTAATGGGTTGTTCTCTGCCATAATAACTGTATATGTGTGCATCTTTACTTCATTAACACACACAGTACTTGGAAGAGTGTATTGGATTTTTACTGTTCCTGTACTTTAGAAAGATAGAAAGACGCTTTGGGTTGGTGGCTTAAAGGTAGGTAGGACCCAAAGCAAGTATCTGACAACCTAAGAATGAGACGCAACAATAAACAGTTTCTTGGCCCTGATTGGTTGTTTTTGTTCAGGCCTCTTGTAAATGCTACCAGGAGCACTAGGAGGAGCCAGAGAAACCTGATTATTAGTCTCATGTGCTACTGGTCGAATATAGTGAAACTTTCAGGAAATATGACTAAAAATTACCTACTGCAGCTTTAATGAACGAACCAGTTAGTGCCGGAGGAAAATAGGAGCTCAATGAAGCAAACTAAGCAGTAAAAAGTTGTTATTCTGAAATTTTTACCACTTTACTGAGTATTTCCTCTCCATTGTGTTACTTTTGTATGTGAATGAAAGCAAGTAAGTTTATATCTTGTCTGCCTTTGTGTTCATGTGTAGAATTATGACCATATTTTTATTTAAGCTCAGCTGAGAATGTAAAGTGTCTAACTTCTAGATAATTAAACTAATTTAGCTGTTACATCTTCACCAGTTGATGCACATTGTAATAGATAATAGCTTTAGCTGCAATTTGAGACATTCAAATTTTCCCCAGCTAAATTATTACTGGGTAAATTGTGGGCACATTCGTGTGCTAATATTGTTGAAGAGAGTGATTAATGCTATTACAGTAATGCATAACACAGTTTTAGACCACACACACAA